CTCTCGACGAAAGCAATCAACTGCAGCAGCTCATTGCTGTCTGCACCGAGAGGGTAACGTTGGAGGAAAATGAAAGAAACTCTCAAACTGCTCGAATTTTGTTTGAAAAACTTGAAGGCCGAGAACTTTTTGAGTTTGGTCGTCTTAAGTTCTTGAAAGAGATTTTATCGAGAATTCAGAGGCGAGATCTGGTGAAGGAAGTTCAAGATTTCGAGACGCGACGTATTGATGAAGATGAATTTGAAAGAAGGAAAGGTAACAATTATTTGGTCCTGTTTTATTCTTATTTAACCGCATTTTTTTTGCGGGAAAGTATTTAAGACTCTGCTAAAATAATATCCATCGAGTGAGCATAATATGCCATATATTGATCAGAACTCAACATTTAAATTCAATTCTGTCAGGTTATTGTAATTCTTCTGCCTAATTTGTCATTGAATCTTGCAATTTAAGCGTATGCCGGTAGCATTGTTGCAGCAGCCAGAGTTGTTGGTGGAAGAGCAATCGGAGGTGAGTTAAAATTGGTGGGATTTAAGTGTTGAGCACGAGTAGGGAAGAGTTTCAAACTCCGTAAACAAACCAAAGATCGGAAGCACTCTAAACTAATTAATGCATACTGACGATCTACTATAAAACTATTTTACGGAGATATGAGAAAGTGTAGGTATCTTGCGTACTCGTTAACATGCTCGTGTCGGTGCGTTATATGGTCGAAGTTGCTTCCAATTTCTTCGATGAATCCGAGTCGTGCCTCCAAAGTTCGCCAGCGAGGAAATTGTCAATACGACTAAGTTATAATTTAAGGTTTTTTCTGGAGCGTCCATCGGTAAACAGTAGATGTTTATTGCCTACCTTAAAGTTAGGTATGATGTGAAAGAAGCATTTTACTGATAGATGTTTTTCTTCTGGTGCAAAGTTGTTGTGAGACGGTTATAATCCAGTAAGTTTATTTCCTCGCTTCCGATTGGTCCATGCGGATCACCTGGCTGAAATGCTCGCTGAAAGCTGAAGACTACCATTCGAGCGAGATTTCCAAGATTGTACAGTCATATTCCTCAAAAATTTAACCATAGGTAAACCAAGTTCGGATAGTCTACTTCTTAGAAAACATAGAAAGACATACACTTATTCGGACATAATTTGCATCGGACTGCGATTAATTTGGTTTAACCGTGTGATCACGTTGTCTGGGACGGTATGTTTTCTCGTCAACCGCAAAAATGAAAAAGTTAGCAGATTCAAACAATGCAAAAAAAAAATCCCTCGATGTTGGACCATCATAGTCACGCACCTCTCACGGTTCTTTTCCAACTTGTTTACAATGATCTTCGCCAGACTACCACCAAAAATTATTTTAAATATCAACATTCAAAATTTAATTTAGTGCTATTTTTTAGTACTGAACATGAAGACAGTGTGTCGAGTGGCAGCAGCGGGATTAACCTTACTCTCCGTCCGTGCGATTTTGAAAGGGTGGTCAACTTATGATCAGTTAGTCACCGGCTTCCAGAATTGTGTGCTTCCTGCTGGTTCAAGATTGATTGAAGTAGGTACAGGGTGCGTATGCTTTACAATTCAGGCCGACAATCTCATGGGGCTCACTGCTTTGTGGAACATGTACGAGGATGGCGGGCTCAAGAAACGTCTATTCGATTTTTTTGTGACTGATGAGATGAAGACCCGTGCCGGTGGTGAAGAGAATGTGGAATTGACTGTGACGATTGAAAAAGAAGAATATGAGAAAGCTTACTTTGAGCTTGTTCAAGAAGCTGACGGTGAGTAATTTTATCTGAAGGTGTAGCGAACTGAATTTGAAGAGCGCAGAAGGATATTAATTAAAACAAAGGCGTTTGTTGATATATGTTTAAAATAAAAAACACTGGGGATGTTTTTATTCTGCATCTTTTATACGCTCGCAGGCCGATCTCCTCCGGGGTCATTGCTTCAGTAGCAAGTTGAAATAAAATAATAGTGTATAGATGTTTTTGTCAAATTCTGCTTTATCAGTTAACTGTAATAGGTGATAGGTTATTCAGTAACAAAGGAAGACATATTTCTTGGACTAGTGAATTGTTATAATTATCCTCTTTTAAGCTGAAGGAGTGAGCAATCTACGCACTTGCAACCTCCTTTATTTTGATTTGCCAACTTGGGTTAGTCAGTCTCATTGGCTTATTGTATTTCCCGCTTAATTTGGTTTGGTTGTTTACTGTAGGAATTTAGCCGTTCAATAACAAGAAAAATAAGTTTAATCGCACAGCTTTGCCGCTGCTTCAACCAAATCAAGTTATGAACAAAGGCTGTTTTCAGTTAATCAGATAAATAAATATATTTTATAGGTCACGCAATTAACTGTGGAGTAGAATCATTGCCTCGTTAGACTCGACGTTATCGTTGCTGCGAATTTTTCACTTTTCATTTCCGAAGCATTACCATAAAGGGAGTTAAACTTTGACAGCCCATTCTATTTTCGGTATTCAGGTTAATATTAAAAGATATTCACTGAAATATCGGACACGAAATATGGAAGAGAATTCATTTCCTTTACTAAATTTCAAATCATGGCGTCCAAATTTGTAGTGAATTTCTTTGGCGGATCTACGGTTGTTCGGGTGGTTCGGCCGAACCTTATAAACTG